TATTCTTTTTTTTTTTTTTTTTTTTTTTTTTTTTTTTTTTTTTTGTTGTTTAGTAAATCCAAGCAAAATGTTAGCATTTAAGAATAATTAAAATATCAACATACAAAAAAAAATTATTTTACATCAGCGAAAATGTCTTAAATGAATAATAGCACATTAAGGGTGATTTACTATTTTGCAGTAGTTTGAAGTACGACACGACTATAAGTTGCTCAAATAACATTATTTTATTGCTCCTTTTATAATTATTTTTTTTCAAAAAGTAAATGATTCATGTAATGCTCAATGCATTGATAAATATTTCTACCAAGAAAAGATTTGCAAGAGTGAAAATCAGCCATCATACGTCATGGCGCTGCACAACCTTAGCTACAGTATTAATGTTATGACTGAGTATTTGAATGTTGCAACGACCAGGGTGGGGGGGGGGAGGAACGTTCATAAAGACTTAAAGAATGCGGGTCAAATGATATTTGAATGTCTTCAAGTCTTAAAGTAAAGAGTCAAAATCACTTTGATCGTGCGGATCTTTTGTATGTGTGATGAGTCAGGTTAGATAAGCTTAATTAATATTAATCAATCTGATTAAACAAGGGTAATGGCAACAAACAAATCAAATCAACCATTCGTAATTAGCCTAACACTGACCAGGGAGATCGATAAAATAAAATGAAATTCGCCAATCAGATTAAACAAGTGTAAATAACACTGGCTAATCAGATGCAACAAAAGAAAAATACACTTCCCATTTTTCAAACAACCAACCTTCACAAAATTGATTAAATTAGAATAACGGTCTAATATTAGGCGCGCCATGCAATGCTTAAAAATATTAAATGGATTCACCAAATAGTGCACACCAAAACAAGCAACGTTATGTGGTGTAAGACAGTGCGGAACTCAGACTTTCAATATTAAACATATTACATTAAAAAGTAAAAAGAAACATTATTTAGAAATTTATTAAGTTTGGTAGGACTGTAACACATTTTCTTTCCATTAGAAGATGTGTTTTATTGTATAAATATTGATTAAATATATGCATAGAAAGAAATTCTTCAATAGATAGTAATTTTTAAAAAAAAATAATATAAACATTTTTAAATTGATAAAAATTGAGATGCTGTGTAATTTAACTTAATGACAAACTAGTATTTACTTTTTATTAGTTATTGGAGGAAATTTTGTGACACGCATTGCTCAACTACAACTATAAATATTGAAAATGTTAAATATATTTCTTATAAAGTGATAAAAAATTTAACATTTTTGCTTTCACAATGTACAACTAATTTAACATCTTTCTTAAGATCTTTAGCCTTGTATAGCATACCATACTGTGTAAGTGATCACTGAGTTAGCGTCTATGAAAATGTTGTAATAATTTTGTATATCATCATTGTATTTGAGCATCAATTTATCTTGATTTATTTCTTCATTGCAATAGCTGATTCATCTTAAAATTACCCACCAGCCGACCAAGCAAAGATCATGTGTTAGCTAACTGGTCAAGTAACATCCAGCCTACTAATGGAAGTCCACGAGGTAGTTAAGTAGTCAAGCATCGTCCATCTGAAAAATCAAAGACCATGTGATGGCCATCCCGTCAACTCTCATCCAGGCCACCTTTTGAAGACCATGGGATAGCAAACTAGACAAGCATCGTACAGCTGACCTGAGATACCGTTAAGGAAAACATATTTTAAGTATAACTGTAATGTTCTTAGACTTCCGTTTCAACTTTTCGTTTAGCTTAAAAAACATTTTGTGTATAGTTCCTCTCTAAAAGTAAAAGCCTATGTAAACGTGCTTGTAACTGCGAATATTTCTACTAAGGTTATTTTCCAGTTAATGCATAATGGCTGTGTTGTTTAGGTTTGAAATGGCTAGAAAGACTTTGCCATTGTATGCTTGTAATTAGTTTTTGTAGTGTTGCGTTTGTTTTAAATGTGGTAAGTTATAGATTTGTTTTTTTGTTGACTCTGTACCGCGATTCGAGCCTTTTGGGATGAGGCGTGTTTTTGAAATGAACTTTATTATTATTATTATTAATTCGAAAAAAAATGTATTACTTTTTGAATGAAAAAAAGAGTGAAAACGTATTAAATGTTAAAAATAAAAAGTTACATTTTTGTACGTTTTATTAACAAGTTGAAAAACAATCAATTATATTTAATTTATTTTTATGAAAAGAAGGTAATATAACACGAATATTCATGCAAAATAATAATTACATCTCTACAAAACTACAAAAAATATTCGAAGAAGTACATCACAAAAATCATGGAATTCTTAAAAAGAACTTTCTTTTTTGCTTTTATGAATCGTTTTTAAAACTAAAAGGCGGTTGGTTGGCTTAGATACTCGTGAGAAAATATTTAAAGTTGCAAATTCATAAACTTATTTGCATGGCTAAGTGCTGATGGTGAATCGAATTCATTGGTGCCTAGGTTTTAGATTATGTCATCATTTTTAGATTTGGGTTGGTGTATTTTTTCCTGTGAAGTTCTTTCGAATCAATGAGTTTAAATGTGATATGATATTATATGATTTCAACGTGAGGCACAGCGTTTAAATATAACTAAGAGATATTGTTTGAAAAAAAAAAAACTCTTTCTCTTGTATCTACGTCTATATCTGGAGGGCCCATGATCCAGTCATTGATCATTCTGGATCATATTTATGTAGAGCGCTTTCCCGATGCTCGATATAGACTCAATCAAGGACATAAGAGTAATTAGGAACAAAACTAATTCACCGATAGGCTTATTGCAGACCAAATATAAGCATCGAATAAAAATAAGACTATAACTCTCAATACTGAAAACAATGTACTTCTTCTTCTTCTATATCTTAAGGGCCCACGTTCAATTTATTGATCATTTTGGCTCCTATGCATGTAGATGGGATTTGCAATGTTTCTGTTACTGGTGTTGATGAGGAATTCATGCACTAGGGGTTTGAAGGCTTGAGGCAATAGACACAAATGTGTCTAGTGTTGTCGCCTAAACCGTTCCTTTTGAAAGATTGTTCCAGAGCCTGATTCTCTTGGGCAGGAATGAGCAGCTCCTATACTGGCTTCTTGCTGGTATGAGCCAGAATTGCCTGTCATGGCCTCGTCGCTGTCTATGGGGGAGAGGGACGAGTTTCTGTTTAATACTGGAACAGTGGACCAGCCCATTATTTATCTTGTACATTATGGAGAGCCTGGATTGTCGTCATCGTTTCTGCAATGCTGACCAGCCTAGTGTTTCTAGCATGCTGCCAACACTAGAGGTATTCCTGTAGCGGTTTAGGACGACGCGTGATGCTCGTCGCTGGAAAGCCTCCAACCTGTTAATGCTCTTCTTGGTAAATGGGTCTCAGACTGAAGATGCATAATCTAAAATCGGAAGGATAAGGCTTTATATGCTCTTTCTTTCACACAGGAGTTGCCAATCTTTAGATTTCGCCTTAAGAACCCTAGGGTCTTGTTTGCTTGGTTACATACATTATTAATATGCTCGTCCCAGCGGACCTCTCTTTGAATGATAACACCCAGGTACTTTACCGAGGAAAATTGCTCAAGTATATGGCCGTGCAGTTCGTATTGGTAGTGTAGAGGAGTACAACTTCTAGAGCTTGATAGTGTCTGGCACTTGGCAGGGTGAAATTCCATGTCCCAGCTCATCTCCCACTCAGCTAACAGATTGAGATCCTGTTGTAACTGGTCCTGGTCAGATCTGTTGGCGATCGTCCTATACACTGCTGTGTCATCTGGGAACTGTCTTGCCTGTGATGCCAGTTTCTCGGTAGGTCATTACTGTATGCTAGGAACAAACAGGGGCCCAGGACTCATCCCTGGGGGACACCTGACTTCACATCGATACTTTTTACGTATGCCTATTTATTTTGGATCAATAACATCAAGTTATCTTATCCTTTTTAAAATTATAACTTTTATTGCAAATTTTAAAAAAAATATTTATTATAAATATTTTTGCTCTCTTCAATGTAATAGTCATTTCTCTCTCTCTTTCTCTCTCTCTCTATATATATACATATATATATATATATATATATATATATATATATATAACAGATTTCTTGAGATCGAGGTCTCATTCTATGTTTGTGTTTTCAGCAAACAGTGGCAGTCTGTAAATTTTAAAAAATATATATTATATATATTTTTGCTCTCTACTATGTAATAGTCATCTCTCTCTCTCTTTCTCTCTCTCTCTATATATATACATATATATATATATATATATATATATATATATATATATAACAGATTTCTTGAGATCGAGGTCTCATTCTATGCTTGGGATTTCAGCAAACAATGGCAGTCTGTAAATTTCTAATAATTTTGTCGGTGTTAACAAGTAAGTTTCCTATCAAATAAATAAGTAAAAAAGTATTTAACATTTGACATCCATAAGTTACCGTACATCAAAGAAAAGTATTTATTACTGTTTCAGTCTGAGTTATTAAATTTACTAGAATATTAGAGTCACTTCATTCTATGAATTTAGCACCACCGTGGATGATTTTTAAAAAAAACATGACATGAAGATTCTGAAACTGTTTGCCTTGGCACATAGAGGTTTACGTGTCCATTTAATTCCATCGTAAATCGATAGGCATAAACGACCGATTTTGAAAATGAATTTCCATAAATTATCCAAAGCTGTGTAAAATTACACATGAATACACAGTCCCACCATTTATCAAAAACTATTTTCGGAAAAAGATGAACAGGAATTCCCAATATTATTTTAGCCTATTATTTTATAGCCAACAATTGTTGTATTCATAAAAATGCCAAATATCAGTTTTCAAAGTAGATGTTGGATCTGGCTTAAAGATATATGATATAATTAACTTTTCCTGTTTTGTTTTCTGTAAAATTTTTCAAAGATCATAGGTCGGCAAGTCAGGACACTACAAAGATAAATATTTCTTTAGCGAGCCCCATCATCGATTACAGCCCATTTAACTGTCCCAGCCTGGTGGGCATGATTCAGGGCAAAGACCACCTGATGTTGTCCGGGAAGCTCAGCATCCATGGATTTAGTACATCCTTCAATGCAACATTCGGATTGTTAACGGGGCAAAACAGATATAGTGTAAGGTTTTTTTTTTTAAATTAACTACCTGTAAATTTAGATAGGGAACATTTAGATTTGTGATTTTATTTCAGAAAATCAAACTTTTTTTTAAGAACTTGGATAATTATTAATTTTATAAAATGTTGGAACACTTTTCGACACCGTTCGATAATTCTGTTTATCTCTGACCTAATGGCTTGTTTTGAATGAACACACTTGTAGAACTCTCATATAATATAATTAAAAGCGGCGGAACTGTTCAAATAAACAGCATTGTGGAATATTGTCAAAATGTTTTAAAAATTGAAAGTTTAGTTTAGTTCTAAATGAGAAGGAAATCTGGATTCCTGGATAGAGCATCGCGTTACATCGGGACCTGAAATTGCATATTGGAAACACGCGTTGGAAGCCTGGAAGTGACGTCACGTACATTCATACAAACTGCACTTTGCCCATGTCTCGGATGTAATATATTCCCTAAAGAGTTTTTTTTTTAACCTAGAAATTAGTTTGATAGACACTGTCATGGTTTCTTTTAATCAATATATTCAACTCTCATGAGCTGATGTCTTTGATGTTATTTTTTTTAATTTTCTCAGAGAATAGCTACACAAATAGAGAGCTCAAATTGCACGGAACTTTCTGAAGTGAAAATGGACACTTGCGTCTGCACATATCTGGGCATTAATGAACTACATTTTAGGTGCAACGTGACGGCCTCCTGCAAAATGGCAGGACAACTGTATGTTTATATGAACTTCAACAACATATATTATTACACCCAATTAATTGCGATCCTCAAAACACACGGTAAGCACAGCTATACAATTAAATGGTATGTGAAAGCAATTTGGAATTGATCCCTTAAAACGCATTTGAGCCAGCGAATAAAGGCTATCATTTTTAAAGCGAAATGTTATTCATGGTTCAAGTACGCAAACGATATCATAAATATAGTAACTTTTTTTTAAAACCAAGATTAAAGTACAGGATGAAACAGATACCTCAACGAGAGACAGTGCAGCCTGGACAACACCTGACCCGTCAATGACACAACTTGAGATCAAAGCCTACTTAAAAGTCCACTTTATGGAAGAGTGGCTCATCGGCTGGGAGGTTGCCCTAATAGCAAGAATACACCGATCGCCCATGGAAACTGTCATTCAGCCAAGAGAGCCTTTTCACATGGACGCGGACAGTGCGCTGCCATAAGAAACCGAACTACATAAATTAGTCTCATGCAGGGAACCAAACTGGTTTCTTTGCGGTACTCCACCCGAAACAGTAGAACATTTATTCACAGAGTTCCACGAACAGTAATTTGGGTGACAAGTGTCCACCCTAGAATGCTGCGTTAATCGAACAATTCAAGACGAAGCGACACCTAATGAGGCTCACCTGTGACGAACTAGACTGGGTCATAAGAGTTCAGGGTCGACCCTGCAATAGATTAAATTCTTTATAGGGTGAACACAGCTATATCATTAAAACAGTTGTTTTTGTTTTTTTGATTTTTTAAATTGAAATGAATGTACCGGAGAACACGTCTACACAATGGAATGTATTTTAGTTTAACATTTATTTTGTATCGACCCTTTCTCTGCTGTTAACATTAATTTTTGTAATTCGTAATATATTTACCGTAAACTTTTGGGGGTTGAACCATAACGAAAAGAGTGAGTACTTGGAAGAAACTTCGTTACAATCCTTTGTGCAGGTGCAGCAACGACACTTCTTAAATCTTATCTGCTTTTCTTATAAATTTATCTATGGAAATTTTCTTGAAAGGAAAAACGACTAAGTAGAAAATGACATAACTAAATGAGTAGAGAGTTCCATTCAATTATTGTTATGCTGTTTTCATTTTCTGATCGACGTAACATTTCTCTCCCCATTCCAATTTACGATGTGTCAATCAGCCCGATGTGAGTCTCCACCAGGTAAGACCACATTTATATTGAGCTCAAGTTTTATTTTCACCATTTTAGAAAAACAAATTGCATCAATATTTACGCAATGGCTTTTAATATATTTTTTCTTTAAATTTTAAAAAATAAATCTCATCAATTTGTTTTTGTTTTTTTTAAATATTAAAAAGATTCTATTTCCAAGCCTCATAATTTAATTATAACATAACTGTTAATGTTCAAACTGTCAATGTTGTGTCACCACTTCAACTGTCACCGTACAAGTTGTCATGATTTGATCTGTAAACATCAGAAATAATAATTGGATCCAGTGGTACTGATACGGCCAACAGTGGTACTGATACGGCCCACAGTGGTACTGATACGGCCCACAGTGGTACTGATACGGGCCACAGTGGTACTGAATGGCTTGGAGGATTTTTGTGGGCACCCAGACTCCTCAAGCGGGCGTTTGATTATCAGAAAAAATCTTAAATACATTATTTATTTTTGTTAAAGGCTACTCTTTGTTTATTGCCGGCATCAATTGTATTCATCGATTATCTGTCTGAGATCACTCCACAAATCACAACATCATTCATCAACAACAGTTTACGGTTGAACATACGCGCATTTATCAACAATTTAGCCATGAATAACATTTAAAACTGTTGATATTTGTTGGATACAACTACAGGTCCATTTTCTCACTGCTTTAATGGCTTGGAAAAACGCACGCTGACACATCCTTTCAACCATTCACGAGCCAGCTACTCATGCAGGACTGGACTGCTCCACGGTGTCGATCTCTTTAACATGACGGGTCGGGTTTACCTCAATGATGTACCCCGCAATGCCGTCATTGACGTTAAATTTGGCGTGGCGCCTAGAAACGACAACATATCTGTTACTGTGAGAACCTCTGTTGTTTTGTACCGAATTTGTTACAGTAATACCATATGGTGCGTTTAACAAACTTATTGCTATAATAACATATGTTGTTTTAACAACATCATTTCTGCTCTCTTACCCTCAGTTGTGTTGTAACAACATTATAACTGTAATACTCAATGTTAAGTTGTAAGAAAATTATTGATGTAATACCATAATATTTTGTGTTGTAACACTATTATTACTGCAAGACTCTCTGCAGTTGTGAACAACATAAGTACTGTAAAAACATGTGTAGGTTTTTTTTAATATTATTACTGTAAGAACCTCTTACTATAGCTGCAAAACAAATAACCGTACAATTAATTTCACTTTTTGTGAACTAGTTGTAGGATGAAATATTAAACGCTGAACCTTAAGTTGTGTATAAAATTGATATCTTGGAGGTAATGCTTATTCGGAGAAGTTCTACTGATGGGAAGATGATCGTAAGTATAAGATCAGTAGCTCAAATAGTTTAGACCCATGTTCAACGACAAAAGTCTGAAGAGGAATCTACCAATTAATTATTTTTTAAAGAGTGTCCCTCCTCCCTACCCTTGACTACAGTTGTCCTCAAAGGAAAGGAGCGAAAAGTGAATGGCTAGAAAAAGCGCCTTGAAATAACTCTACTGTATGTTCAACGTCTGCTGGTAACACTCAGCATACAATAAATCACGTATTGTCAGAAGTACATTTGATATCTTATGGATAATCCAAGGACGCTCGCTATCTGAATTATTTATGAACACAAATGACATTTGGGCCCTATTAGATTAAACCGTAACACCTGTTTTATTTCTCATTCAAATCGTCACATCTAGATTTTAGGGACAGAAGTCATCTTCCGTTATAGGGATTGCTTGCCCTTTGACCCTAGCGTCATCAACTCATGTGGCTGTCTTGGCGTAGACCTCCATGGATTTCGTGTAGTGTGTACATTTTTGGCGTCACTGGAACATAGTCAGAAGTTCGGCTACTTTCAAATGTTCATAGATGGGAAATATTACAGAGGTGATTTTGTGAGGATGCCCCTTGTATTGGGTGAGTTAACAAGTTCGTTGGTTTTTTTCCCACATCGTCTTGAGAAGAATGCAACTAAATGTTAAGAAATATCAACAAAACCCATTTTTTTTCTTAATTGACCTTTTCACTTTAACTGGAGCGCCAGGTTTTATGTAACAAAATCACACTTTATATAAAAACCCTAACTCTATGTTATATGCAGGTTGTCCAGGTCCAGTGTAGTAGGGTATTCCTTCAAAACATTTTAGTTATGTTCATTGCCTACAACTTTTAAATCTTACATGTTTGTTTTTCAACAGACCATTGCCAGGAGACGCCAAGTAACTTAAAGTTTATTACCTTTTGAATTCAAAGGCTTTTTGTTACATTTTTAATGTTTAGTATGTTATATTTACCAGCTTATATAAAGCTCTAAATGTTATATGTATCAAATCTAAATTTAAATTATTGTATAGTGCTGCTGCATGCTCCTCTGCATCAGTTCCTTTGGCCCGTTAAATGTCTTTTCGTCTCAATCCTCCTCCGACACATAGCTGATGTAAACGAGTCTCCATAGCATTAATTCATGTTCGACTTTGTTGACCAGCGGGCCGTCTGCCCCTTGGAATATGTCTGTGAATAACTTTCATTACTTTAAATCTCTATCAGTATATTTCTATCAAGCGGAAGACATTTTTGTCTGCACATCGCTTCTGATCCACTGTATCCCGGAATCATCTGAAGGTGCACTGTCCAGTGCAGCCTGCGTGTTCTAAGTGTGTGATAATAAATGAAGAAATGCCTTTACGCTTTGGGAAGGAAATAGTGGAAGAGAGTATGCGGAAGCTCGAAGTATAAAGACAGGAACATTTTTTTTAAAGAAATGAAAACTTTCTACTCAAAGCCTTCTCAGGCAGACAGGACAAAATAAGAAACACAAAAAAGAACCCCCCCAAAAAAAAAAATAAATAAAAACATTTAAGTGTTTGGAGTCCGCCATGTTTGTTATGTTTGTGCTGGAAGTGTGCAATTTTCTCCATATACATTAAATGAGATCAAAGCGAGAATTTAAAGAAACTGTATACAGTGCATAGATTTCTAGAACTCAATTTTCTTTCCAAATGTTATTACCCTGTCAAGAAAACGAGCGATGGGAGCGTACAATAGTAAAGCAAGGCAGCTTTTTTAAGAGCACACACACTTCCCGGATTAAAAAATATGTATCACAACAAGGGGGTCCCACAGCACTTATTTGAAGCAACGTAAACGCATACATGTGTCTGACATTGTGTTTCTCGTGTCATACACCATCATTGTATAACTCTGAAGCTGTTGGAACCTTTGATTTAGTCCTTTTTAGTAATTTTTTGAAGAGCCCATTTTTAAATATTTTTTTTTAACATTGGTTAATTTTATAATTTTAATACTTTTATGGAATCGAAGGTCTTGTAAAAAAATATTACATTGTTTTATTATAGTTTATAATGGGATATTTTGTTTTATTACTTGCTTGAGTTTATTTTTTTTATTATTATATTTACCAGCTCTAAGGTTTAATCGTTAAAATTATCAAATTGTTTGAAATTTGACAGTTTTATTGTATCCTTAATTAAAAAGTAAAAAATAATAATAATTTTGAATCGGTAGAGAACAATGCTATTGATAAGTTAATGATTCATGATGTGCAAGCTTTACTTTATCAAATTTTAATTTAAGAATCGTATTTTAAATGCTAGCTTTGCAAAGCTTAAATGCCGTGGAATATTTTAATTTAAAGTTAAATAATGGTTTTAACGTTATTCTCGTCAAAGCTAATCTGACACAACTACGTTTTTTAATATGATTAATATATTCTTAATATCAATTTTTAAAAAAAGTCATCAATAATTCGGCAAAATATCTGCTTTAATTTCGCATCTATTTTTTAAAATCAATTATATTAATTTTGCTTTCAACTAGCCACACCCTAACCAGCTGATTTATACGAAAAGCATTGTTTTAGGGGTTATTTAATAAGACCTGCCGATGCTTACACCAGAGAAAGCTAGGACATTTTTTTTGACATTTACGTATTTTTTTTAATGTTTTTTTTTTAATTGACCTTTAAGTGCGTCAGTATATATGGTATTATTGTTTTAATGTCAGTTTAAAAAAGAAATATTTCTTATATTTCAGAAAATTTAGAGACTTTTATGTGCATAACTATAATAATCATATTGGTACTCTTAATTGGAGTTCTAATACACATTTGTAAGTATTGAATTGTAGATAGACTTTGTGTCAAAGTCGTTTCAAGATGAAAGTGCACTAGAAAAATATTCATTGTAGAATAGTTGTAGAAAAAAGTTTTGCTCATGTCAATTAACGTTAATTTATTTAATAAGACACACCATCGCTTTGCCAAGATAACATTACAGTTGAAATAAATAAACGGAGGAAACAAAAAACACGGCACACAAAATGATTTGGCGAATATATCCATTGGCTCAAACAAAAAACCTTCCGATATTTAAATTATATTTTTCATAACATATAGATCCTACCTTGTAAATCATTAAAAATTAAGATAGCAAGTCCGACTTCTGATATTCGTTTTTGTTAAATGTCATAATTTTATTTATTAAAGCGTGTTACAGAACCACACGAACCAGTCAATTTTCAGGCCAAAACTTTTTTAAAAAAACGAAACAAAAAAAACTTGAAACCAAATATATTATTTCTTTCTTGTTAATATTATGTTTTAGTCTTGTCAAAGCGAAGAAAAAATGTTGGTAAGTCTGGAAGCTGTTTAACGCCTAAAACCATTTTGTTTCTTTATTTCATTTTGAAGTGATTAAAAACTTTGGAGTGTTTTATGGGTTTCACTAAAAACCATTTTGAGCTATGCATAAATATTTTTAGAAATAAGGAATTGTTACCTTCGAATACTTTATTATTCCTTAACCATTCTATTTATTTAATCATTTTGTTGGCTGGAGTTCTACGTTACGTAAAAATTATTGTTGTATTTGTTTTTACGTGTGTGTTTTTGAAAAGGAAAAAAGTAGTAAAAAAACTTCTTAAGATTTTAAAAATATGTATACAACAATTATTATCTTGATTCAATTCTCAAGGTAAGCAATATCTTTACATTGTAAAATGTGTCGATTTTATAATTATTTGTTAATAATATTAATCCAGATTATTTTAAGCCTCTTACATTTTATTAAAAGCTTAAAATTGTTTTGTCTTGAGATTTATGTTTATGAGTTCTCTCTCAATAATTTATTGTCCTATGATTTATATCTATAATTCTCCCTTCATATTTTAATTTATGTGATTCTTCTTATGAGTCTTAATATAATGTGCCAACTCAAAATATTATCTATTCAATACTTTTTAATTTTTTTTTTTTTTTAAAGTAACTTTTACAATGAGCATGTAGCTTTTTAAAGCCAATTTGGAGAAATTCAATTTCAATGTTTTTATTGGAAAAGAAGTAATTATTTCAGGAAGTTTTACAAACCATTTGAATTGTCCTCTTTTATGGACACAAAATTAGAAGCTGTTTACATTATCCTCGATAATTGATGGATTAAATTCCTCAGTAGGCGATGTTAATGTCCTCCCAACTCAACAACTGTGATAAACAGTTGAATTTGTTGGATATTGCTAACGTGAGAAATACTATCAGTTAAGATTGCCGTCTCTAGAAGAGTAATTAAAAATTAGCAACGTCTTATCTAATGAACATGTCTTTTACGTACATATTCTTTAGCTATTTCAGCTCAAAAGGCCAACAGTCCAATAGGTAATTGAATAATTTAAATCTATGTGTATATATTATTTATTTAAATACTTTGTCGTTTCTAGTAGCCTTGTCGTATTAAGATGTCAGAATGTACTGACCAGATTTTAATTTATGATACGCAAACTTATTGTTTAATATATATTTCTTTTATAACAGTGTTTCATAATTGTATGACTTTTGTTTTTTTTCCTTAAATGAAATATTACTCTAAACTCTAATTAAATGTCTTGTCTTTACAAATACAAGCAAAATGGTCTAAAGTAATTTACTTGGATATAACGGAATCATTTTAAATAACAAACTGATATGTGCTAGTAGTTCCATGTGTTGACATAAAGTTTAACTGTTTGATTTTTTTTTTAATCTGAATATTTTAATATATATATATATATATATTATATTCTTAATTGCACTTAGCTCTGAACATATAAAAGTTATCAAGGGTAACCGATGACATAAACTGAAAATATAAGATAATTTATATGAGTAAAGTCAACTTAAGCTAGGTCCTCATAAACACGTCAGTGGTCGCGTAACAAATAAAACATGTTGAAACATAAAAAAACATTAAATTCTGCCAAATAACCTCGAACCTGCACTAAGTTTCATTGTTACTACATTCCGTCATTTTAACCTAATATATTTAAATGTATCAACATCACAATAATTCTGACCATTGATAATGTCTATTCTTTCCTTCTCAGGGAATTTTAACCAAAACTATTTCAGATAATTTGAATGAAATAACCATATTTGATACACGGTCATGTTCTTAGAGATTCAATGGCCTTCCAAATACTTTCTTTTTTTGGATATAAGGGAATTGGCTATCAAAAAATTTAAAATTAAACAAAATTGAAGTTAGAATATTATGTCAGACAGCGGTCAAGTGAAGTTGAACAAATATTTATACAAATGGCTTTTAAAATAAAGCTCGCAAATAGAGTATCAACGTTTTCTTTTATTTCATCTTCTCCTCGATTTTTTCTTTCCTTTTATCGTAGAACCGGAGGAAATCAGCGAAATACTACACACAAGTAAGACTATAGTTTTTTTAAAATCATAGAAAATCTAAATGTCACGTAAGACACTTCTAGAAAATGTAAATGATATTTAACGACATAAATAAATTTTAATGCAAGGATCACTAGAAATCAAACACTCCAGTTGAAACAGAAATATGACAGATTTATTTATTTATTTAGGCATTTTTATATAGCGCTTATCATAAAGCTCTAAGCGCTTTACA